AAAGTATATGTATATGTATATCTAAGATCTTTACTGGCTTTCGAAATTGTTTTTCTTATAAAGATTAGAAATGAAATTCATTAATTTTTGTTTTTTCTGTTACTATTTTAATTATATTGGACATTTTAAATGTATGGCGAGAGAGANAAAGTATATGTATATGTATATCTAAGATCTTTACTGGCTTTCGAAATTGTTTTTCTTATAAAGATTAGAAATGAAATTCATTAATTTTTGTTTTTTCTGTTACTATTTTAATTATATTGGACATTTTAAATGTATGGCGAGAGAGAATACATTCATGAAAGAGAAATTAATTTCTTGATTTTGCATTACTTTGTTTAGGTACTAGAAACATTTAAAAAACTACATCGTACCCGCATGAAAACTTTCCAAGGGGATGAACATGCCTTGTCAGGTAAATTGTAAATGATAAATTTTTAGATTTAACTAAGATTATCAATATTTTAATATATATCATTTAGATCTAAGGAACAAGATAAATGAGGAATATAGGAAAAATAAGAATGTTACAAACACAGCAGCTATTGAAGAGGTAAAATTGATTTAATAATTTTATTTCATTAATATTTCTTTAGATTTTAGATGACATGTGATTAAAAATAAAACTATTTGAACAAATTCTATTTGCATATTTCTTTATTGTATATATATATTATATATATTATATAAAATTGAGTGGACAGACAGTGGAAATGGTTATAAATAATATAAACTCGCTGGAATAAGTCGGGTGTCCACTCATTTTTGTCTTTGAAAAATTTGCTAACTTTGCCATTAAGTACGGTTTCTGTGTACAAAACTATAAACATTAACTTGAGTTTTGCACAAAATATTCTATGTACCATAAGAATATGTAATATACAAAACTTGTGTGTATAGTAGTAATACTAGTTTGACTAAATTTTATTTATAACCATTTCCATTTCCATTTAAGTATGAAAACTTTACATAATATACTAAACTCTTTTTAAATTTTTCTTGCTTAAGGCTACACAGTGAATGTGATTGTTCTTAACCTTGACTATTTCCCAACAATGATTTAAATAGATGATTCTGTTAAATAAAAACAAGCCATATTTTATAATAGATTGCTTTACGTTTCATGAAGTAAACTTTATGTTATTATAGATAATTATGTAATTATCATTTAAATGATAAAAGTGTATATTAAAATATAGAACAAATTGTATAAGAATCATCTATTAATAATGTATCTAAATTTAATCCTTTTTCTTTTTAATTATTCGAAATTATTCACATTCATACATTAAATCACACACACACACATGGTATGAATATATAATATGAATATTATTTTAGTTGAACAAATTGGCCCAACAAGTGGAACATGAAGTGCGGACAAATATAATACAGGCAGTTGAAAAAAAGCCAGGTGTATTTGGTAATCATTTTTAAATAATAGTATTTCATGTAATGTAAAATAATAATATTTTATAATGGATTTTATAATTCAATTTAATTACTAAATATATCATACAATTTCAGCACTTCGAATCACACCAGACACTGAAATGTTGGACAATATACCTTACAAGGACTCTGATGAACAGCCTTCTAGTGGTAATTGTAATTTAAAAAAAGATACAGAGGATAAAACGAAATAATAGTTAAATATTATTTAATGATTAATTGTTATAAGCTGTGAAAGATTATTTTGTTTCATGCATCTTAGAAATTAAAAATTAACGTGAGCCTCGTTCTTAACTTTTTATTAAGTAATTTATAGTACATTTATATTCGTAAAGACTGTTGTACTGTTACAAGAATTAATAATAATTTATTACGAATTTATTCGAATCGGTGATATTAATTCAATAGATTTTATTTGTAGTCAAATATGTGTAATGTTTCTAACATTGAAGATAATATGAAAATAGTTGCATATTAAGTGATCTTGAACGCACAATTATGATTCCTCAGCACCTTCTACTTTCATCCTGAAAAACACATAGACATTTGAATATATCGTTACTACACTATTATTTAAGAAGTAAAGTAAGTTTCCTGAAAATGTGGAATACTTACACACACAACTTACACATTTGGTCTCTAATGCGACTTGTGTTATTGATGCTTCATTAATGGAAAAGATATAAAAATATCTCAAGTTTGTGAGACATTTTGTCCCGATATACTTGGGATTTATTAGCCATTGTAACAGTTTCAATGTTACTTGAACTTATAATATCGGAATAGTGGTTAGTACATGTATAATGTTCTTGGTGCAAACCTAAGATATTAATCGTTTCACGTTATTCGGTGTTTAATTTCAAACAAAATAAATTATATACTTACACATGCTCAGGATGGTTACGAATTTGGTCAAGTAAATCTGCTGGTCTTATTTGATCTGTACAGATACGGTGTACGGCAGTAAATAAGGGGAATTTCTCTGTTAAATTACGACCCTTTAGCATTCCATGAACTTCATCAGCTGTGGCAGGACCTTGTAATTTCTGTCCACCTAAAAGTTCGTCTTCAAGTGTTTTAATTGTCTGTGAAAAGATATTTATATTTTTAATTTTACATAGTCTACAAAATAAGTTCATTAATTTTAAGTACTTGGAAATAATTTTCACCGTTTTCACTTATTTTTATTTTTCAATCATAAATATTCCGAGAATTACAATGAATAAAAATCAGCAAATACTTTCCTATGTACCCGTCACTATTAAAGAAAAAACAAAAATATAGATATAAAGTAATGTTTCTCGTACTTTGCCAGTTTTTACATATTGCTCGCATACTCTGCGATTTCTGCCTCCATAGCAAGTAGTGATTAAATCTGCTACACCACAACTTTCAAAGAATGTTGATAGCTTTGAACCGGTATAGAAAGTGTCTACAAACTTAACCATCTCCATCAATCCTAATCTGATCACTGCTGCTTTTGTGTTATCTCCTAGACCCATACCATCTACGAAACCAGCTGCGCAAGCCACGATATTCTGAAATAAAAATCGTAGTTCATCTCTAACAGTATTGAAATTCTATTTCAATAATATTACTAATTTTTAACTTACCTTCAATGCTCCGCATACTTCAACAGCTTCGCAGTCTTCTACAACTACTACTCTGAAATTGGGTGTTTGAATGAGGTCTCTTAATAATGGTGCTAGCCGTTTGTCCTTGCAGCCTAAAACATTTCAGATAACATAAATAACAATGTCATTTATTCATTGTTATTGCTCTAGAATGATCACATATTATTTAATACGAAACACTTCTTCTATGTAATTAAAATATTGACAAAGACATCTTTAATAGGGGGACAAAATATATTAGAACTATTTTACACCATTCTCTACATTGAAACAGTATATTTACATTGTTGCAATACAAAACAATGACAGTAGATTGAGATTTTTGCATATGCATGTCATGTACAAATGAATTTTCACCCCTTTAATTAGGTAATTACTATTCAAGAATCCCAGATCAATATCCACAAGGTTCCAGTAGAGACACGAACATCGGTAAAATCAAACAACGTTAAACTTAACAAATGATGTTAAAACTACATTTATTATAACTATTACTACAATTGTGTTATAAATGGTGCCTAATTTAATCACACCTATTTCTAAAGATCTCTGCGATATTAATTCTGCTATTACAACTTGTACAGCATGGGATTACTACGAGTAAGGAACAGATCACTCCGCATTATCGGAGCTGTGCCTTCACATATGTAATACCTAACATTAGATTTACGGAATTGATCAAGGGATTATTTTTTTAAAATGTCAAAAGCTTCAGTAAATTATTCTAATAAAAATGTACACATATATCATGTGTAATAAAGATTAATTGTTGCCGCGAAAAACATTTTTAAACATATTTTCATCAAGAGTAAAAATAAAAGCCATCCTATTGTGCATGGATAGTGTAACTCTCAAATGATCTTGAATATTAAAATTATATGTTATATTTTAAAATAATTAAAAGATCTTTGGACTCAAAAATTGTATAATTAATATGAAACTTACTTCATATTACGTTTCAGATATAGTTTATTTATTTATATCTATTTCAATAAACATATATACGCGAATCCGTAAATCGAGTGTTATAATGAAATATTAATTTTATGATAACATACCTATAAAAAAGCAAATGTTGATTTTTTACTGTTTCTAATAAATATATCAAATATAACGTTATAGACATTTATCGTTAGACACAAATGAAAACGAAATACAA